CACACACACACACACAAATCAGTCAGGCTGTTGCTACCCAGTTACCTTATTTCTCCCTTGTCCCTTATTTCTGCAACACTGTAGATGAGGGGGGAGAGCAGGGAGAGCAGCTAGCTCCGAGCCTCGCCCTCCCCATCACAAAGTGACTGTATTTAAAGGAAATCTGTTGTATCTCCCTGCAATCGCCATTGTGTCCAGAGTGAACTTGTGTTTATCTTGTTATTTATTTTTGAGTAATAAAGATCTTTTAACATCGCTGTTGTTGTTTAGTTCCTGCAGCTCTTGGCCACTTTGGGGAAAGGGGAAATACTGGGAGGGAATTGCGCCATATTCTGTGCTTTTTCATAAACTGAATTCTCAAGCTTGGTACACAACAAAATTATCTTGGTGACAGCGCTCCCTGGAAGTCAGCTATGGCCTTTGATGGATGACGTGGAAGCCTGTTTAGAGAAAAGCAATGTAAGTCTTCATTTCCAGCTTGCTCTAAAGGGGTTGCAGGAGGGTGACATTTTAAAATTAATCAGCCAAAGGAGGTTGAAGAAAGGTCTTAAATAAGAAGCAGTAAACATCTTTAGAACAGCTATTTAAGTGGCTGCACTTTTGATGAGATGAAACTAGGATGCCCTGAGGGTTGGTATTGGCCTCCATTGCCCCCTGAAGCCAATCGAGTATTTCTTATCACCTCCAATCGAGGAATTATTTATATAAGAAACTCAATGTGGCATCTTCATTGTTATTGGCACAGTGCTTTGCTTAAGACAGCACCACGTGGTCATCCAAAGAATGACTACAGAAATAAGAAAGGGAAGGAGGAGGGGCAGAGCCGCTCTGGGTCACCGGCCCTGCTCTTCAGTCTTGTGGCTGCTACAGCCCCTTCTGGACTCTGACGACCTTGCAGCAAACACCTGCCAAGCAGCTGAAAGTGCGCCAGACAAATCTGCATGCTGTGCACTTTCTCCAGCGAGAGAATTTGGGTATGAGCCAGGGTGGACATTTGTGGATTAGGGGACTCACTAGTGATCCGTTCACTGTGCACAGGCCCTCCTTTGGAAAGCCAGGGTCCTGGGCCTAGGCGAGGGAGGACTTGGCCAAGCTGGCAGAGAGAAAGATGACCTGCAGGCCATACCTTTCCCCTTTTACAGGAGCTGTGTGCCCACTGTGAAACAGTGCCACACTTCAGCAATGCACCTGCAAGACGGGGTGCAGCGAGAGGCATCAGCCCTTTGATAGGATTCATCAGAAATGAATCCATGTCCTCTTGGACGGAGTTTTAAAGTAGTCTTCATACACTCATGTTCTCTTTTGATTCAAATATTGCCTATGCAATTCACACCCCCCTTCTTTTCCCTTGGTAATCATTATTTTTGAGATTGTTTACACCTCTACTAACCATGTTGCCAATAATGTCTGTCACCAGAAGTAATGCTATTGATACAAAAGCACTCTACACTCTCTGGGTTAGCTCTTCTCCCATAATTTCTGGTGCTCTCTAAATGCCACCTCCTGTAGCTTCAGCCTCACATGCCCAACTGTGCTTAGCCTCCCAGACTGCTTCCTAACAAAGTCACTTTGCCCTTCCCACGGACTCCAGGTCCCATCTTTCACCTTCTTCTCTTTCTGTCCTGCATGCTTCCCACGGACTGCCTCACCTGGGCTTCTGGCTTGAATTGCCACTTTCGTGTTATTGATACAATAATTTTTACCTGTTCCTTAGAATTTGCCTGTGTCTCTAAATGGTGAGCCCAGGCCCACAACCCACTGTCCTCATCAGCTCCTCATGCCCAGTCCCACCTGCCTATGCTCACTGATCTTACTTCTTACCTAGTTCTTCATCCTCTTCTTCCTATCTCTACTGCCACTGTCCTAGTGCAAACTTTTGTCTTCTCACTTCTGGAACAGGAGAGCAGCCTCCTACACACCTCACCTCCATTCTTGTTCGCTCCCATCAATTCTCTCTGCACAGCCTCTGTGAATTGTTAAGCACAGTTCTGATTTCACCATGTCCCTGCTTCCTTCTGCCATCAGAATAAAGACCAAAATAAAGAATTTATGTGTCTCCTGCCCACACCTCTCTGTCTCTAAGCTGTAACTTCTAAGGTTATAAATGCTCTGCCTCCTTAGGCCCCTGGCATGTTGTTTTCTTGTAAGATCCATTCCCTTCCCCCAGTGCACACTGCACTTAGCAAGTATTTCACAGCCCTTGTGGTTGAGGTTTTCCCTCCCGTGCTGTAGCTTCATGAGGACCAAGAACTGATCACCATGGTAACTTCTGTGTCTATCATGGGGACTGGCATAGAATCGGGCCTTTGTTTGCTGCATGAAGGAATAATTGAATGAATAAATGCAGCTTCTTGTAACTCGATAATCCATGAAATTGTGTACTGGTTGAAACAAATTTTTGAAATAGTATAAAGACCCCCATAATGTAAAAAATATCGAAATTATGCTTTTATGGAGTACAGAAAAACTGAGTTATACTGCAGATAAAAATAGATAATATATTTTTACAATAATTTTCATGATACTTTGCAAAATAGCATGTGGTATTTGCTCCAAACTTCACTTGAACACTTTCAAAGTTGTTCCAATAAATGCTAAGGATTTGGGTACATTACTAATCTAGCTGTAATCCTGTGATCATAAACCATCTAACTTAGCTCCATTTTTATAAGTATGCTATTTCTGTATTCCATCTAAAGCTGGGGCAAGAATGCTGGAATACCCATAATTTTTATTTCTAGATAAACACAAAATGAACAAAATATAAAGTGTTATTCCCTTTGTTACTTGATAGGAAGCAAGTGACTACGAAATGCAAGGGTCTACTTTAACAAGCCGTACCTACAGGGGCACCTAACTTAAAGGGAAACAACACAGGAGCGAATGCAACACATTTTGTGCCACATGACTATTGCCAAGGGACCTGGTACCGTTGTGGTGGGAGATGTGCACTTTTTTTTTTTTTTTGGTACCAGGAATTGAACTCAGGACTGTGTCCTGGCAAGGCACGCAGCGGCACCACTGAGCTAAGTCCCCTGCCCCACTGCCGAAAGCTTTTAAGCAGTCCGAAGCATTTTGAGGCACAGAAGCACGGAACTAAGTATGCTTTGTGTTATTTTTTTTCTTTGTGAATCACATGCTCATTTAAAACAAAACCAAAGCGGAAATACTCATTGTAATATGGTGACTAAGTCTGGAGCTGATACGGTCTCAATTTAGGCTCCACTTGGTACTAACTGCTTTAACTGCAGGTGAGTCATTTTACCTCCCCTGGGCCCCAGAGTCCTCATCTGTCGAGTCTGCTCTCTCATGCAGATCGTCATGTAGAGAGCAATGAGGTGGGTCTCCATGTGCCTCTGCATGCCATTCTGCATTCAGTGAAAGTGGACAGGATAGCATTGCAAAATGGTTGAAACTTCTGAGACCAAGAGAGGCTGGCAGCTCTAGTATACAAGCAGCCTTGGCCATACAACATCCAATGTGAAGCAAAGTGAAAGCAAAAAATGAAAGGAGAAGAAAGGAGAGCAAAGGGAGGCAGGGAAGAGCAAAAGCAACAGGTTCAATTATGGGAAGACGTAAAATCTCACAGTGGATCTGTCTATAGAAAAGACTCTGCAGTTTCATTGTCAGGAACAACCAATAGCAGCTTGAAGAGATCCGAATTTTCAGGAGGCCTGAGTGGTTCTATACTTAGGAAGATTTCTTCAAATGACTATGATTATTGATTCTCGATCTAGGGGATGTCAGCACATAAACATGACTCTTCTGTGTCACAGTCTTCTGAGCAACCCTCTAAGCAACTCAGCAACTCTCAGGAAAATCAGTTTAATATGTAGCTCTTCTCTCTATACCTCATTCCTGAAGTTCCCTGTCAGTTTATATTTTCTTGCAATGGAATCCAATTTAAAGTCCAAACTTTTTGCTCAAAATCGCTGCCCCTATCTTCTGTACCTAACTGTAACTGTTTTTGGAGTCTAACGTGCAACCTTGAATACATCTTAGATTTAACTCTCTCTTCTTGTACTAGATAGAATGCTAGACTTTTTCCCCACCCATCCATCCATGCATTAACACTGAAGGAATAAAGCTCTGTGCTATGCATGTGGGGTACACAGATGATCCAGTCCCTGCCCTTGAGGAGCTTATAGTCTTTTACAAAACAAGAGAGCATACATTTTTCGCCTGGTGTAAATGCTGCATCATGAGGGCAAGGACCAGTATTACAGGGAACACAAAAGAAACAAGGACATGTATCAGTTCAAGGGAGAGGTGACAAGTGCCCAAACTAGGCAATGGTCATGAGGATGAAGAAGAGCAGTTAAGGGAATACAGTAGTTAAAATGATAAGACTCCATGACTAGGGTTATAAAGCACCAATGTGTAAGTTTATAAATGCTTGCGGAAGAGGATCGGATGTACAATAAAGCCCTTATTTCTGACTGGGGCAACTAAATGACTAGATTAGTTTTTACTGGCATGGGAAACCCTGGAGAAACAGATTTGGAAATGCAGATGAGGAGTCCAGTTTTGGAGCAAGTTGGGT